TTCCAAAAGTTGTTCTCATCCAGGCACCAGTGGACTGCAGTTTCGACCTCGCATTGGTCTTATCAACACCAATGCGAGGTCGAAACTGCAGTCCACTTGAGCTGGGATGAGAACAACTTTTGGGAAAGCAAGGCTATGTGAAATTCAATGGGAAAGTCAACTAAACTCATATCATTGTTGGAAAATTCTACTACCAGTCGTTCATCACCTTACACGAAATAGGGTGAATACATCTCATTGCAACATCATTTCCAGAGTAGGACCGTGGACGCGGTACATTCCCAAACGCTTCGCCGGCATCGTCAGTGAGTTTCGCCATTCTTAGCACCCCACAACAACTCGTCAATGAGACGAGTGAGGCCCAAGAGACAACTTGTCTCTTTGACGAGTTGTTGTGTGGTGCTACGAATGACGAGACTCACTGACGATGCCGGCGGAGCGTTTGGGAATGTACCACGTCCACGGTCCTACTCTGGAAATGATGATGCAGACAATGGACGCCGGACCAGGTACGTTCCACTAAGTCTTCCTACCAACATGACCGAGTTGCGAAAACAAGGTCAAACAACTTGTATACAACGAAAGGAGCCTGCGATCACACGAAAGGACACACCATCTTGGTCTTCATACCTTCAATGTTTTGGCGAGATTGGCCTTCAATTACTCATTCAACTTGGCAATTGCTGCTGTTCACAACGACTCGTGATAAGGTAACTTTTAGGGCGAGGCTTCTTGTTTCCAAGCCTCCGGTTGGGTTGGCTTCGCCGATTTGCTCAGCAGTTGGGCAGCCGCTGCATGACGCTTGGACGGACCGGTCGCGGCAATTTGCCGCTTCGTGGCCGATCGCGACGCTACGGGCTCGTCATTTCTCGGGACACGTCAGAGCTCGGTGTGCGCCATCGTCACGGATGGTTGAGTGGAGCGCCGTGATTTAGCCAATGGGCGACAATTGCGTTCACACCATTTCGTTTAAGCTGGTCAAGGTGACTGGAAGTTGCATTTTCCCACAATCATGCGAGCAGAACTGATGATTCAGTTGACTTTCACATGGTCTTTCTTTCCCAAGAGGTGTTCTCGAAATCCTACTCACTCACGAAAAAAGTGATTCCGTCTTGTATGTGCTAAAAGCACATATAAGTTTGCCTCACCGACGATCCCAACACAGAATGTGGTATGAAAAATGCCTGAAATTCCTTGAAATTCACATCTTCCCTGTGGCCCAAGAGCACTCGTGGCAATGTGGCCTATGGGTTAACGTGTCGAGTCCACACACCGCACTGTCCTGGCTCGACCTCCGCTTGGGGTGCTGATGAGGCGAGGTCGAGTCTGCCGTCCACCCCGAATGAGAACACCTTTTGGCACGGCAAGGTTATGTGAGATTCCATAGGAACGTCAACTCTACTCATATTAGTGTGGCTAAAGTCAACTACCAGTCCTTCATCACCTCAAACGAAATAGGGTGAACACATTTCATAAATCTGATGTACTGACAGTCTCGAGAAGGTATTAGCTCACGAAAAAATGGGTGGTAATGTTGATCGAATGTTGGACGGACCAAAGTGTGAGCCGCCAAAGGTCAGATGGCGTAATAGCGAATAATTTAATTGTTTTGGCTCGACCTTGATTCCGCAACTTCGTCGGAGGGTCAGACAGACCTGGTTGAAGGTACCTAGTCTCGTGTCCTCTGACACAGTATTCATGGTTTGTAGCTGGGTACATTCACAAATGTTTCGTCGGCATGGTTCAATGGCAGAGGACACAGGACTAGGACCTTCCACAAAGTATGTCTGACGCTCCGACCAAGTTGCGAAAACAAGGTCGAACCAACGCTATAAAGCCGCACCTGGTGGTCTTCGTATCTACGCCTAATTTCATTGTTTATTTTTTGGTTGATAACCATTAAATCATTTATATGATATTTCGTTTAAGGTGCTGGTAGCTAAAGTTTCCCACAATGAAATGAGCAAAGCTGACGTTTCCAATGCATTTCACAGAGCCTTGCCTTCCAAAAAGCTGTTCTCATCCAGCTGGGATTGTCGATGAAGCAAACGTATTTTTGCTATAACAATCAATTAAATTATTTTATTTTTCACATTTAAGTATTGTTTCGAGACTACCAGTAAATCAGTGTAATGAGATATATTCACCTCATTTCGTCTAAGGTGATGCAGGACTGGTAGCTGACGTTTCCATTGCATTTCACAGAGCCTTGCCTTT